AGAGAGAGAGAGAGAGAGAGAGAGAGAGAGAGAGAGAGAGAGGCAGCAAGCTCCTCTCTACAATTACATACCTTCTTTTTTGCTTGCAATAGACATTACATTAAGAGAGACAAAGTGGCAGAGCCTATTGCAATCATGCCTTTGAATGCACAGGAGAAATATACACCTCTACTTTTGGCCAAGTAAGTTATTTTGTGGGTACAAATTTTCTCTTGCTACAGTACCATTTTATTTCTGGGCATAATAGAACTTCTAGATACAAAAACGGCACACCTGAACAGCAAACCACATGAGGATCTCCCCTTTCCTGTAAGATCCAAGTCACTATGTGAGCAGTAAAAAGTGACCGCTGTGTACCTCAGGGCGCACATGTACTTCCCACGTTCAGTCTCCTTCACACCATCAAGGGCAACTCACACAATCTACCAAATAAGATAAGCTCCTCTGTTCCAGAAAGCTCTGAAATGAATTTCTGACTAAGGGCATTCCTCAGCATATAGGTTTCTTGTGGTCAACCAACAAAGGCAGAATTTAATGCAGCGGATGGTATACAACCCTACCACACACCAGGAGGTGGAAGACAGCAACGCAGAAAGGAACTCATGGGGATGAGGAACGGAAGAAGAGGGGGAATATTTGTTTAATTAATGGGTGTATCTATGAGCAAGGGTTCCCTTACACACAGGCAGGTCAAGCACTGAGAGTTGGGCTGTGATTTACAGAAAAGCTTTTCCTAGTCACCAACCCCTCAGACCTTCCAGTCCAAATTCAGGGCCCCAGACTCTTCCCAGAAACCCAAAATGCCAGCTATCACTGGGGATTTTGGATTTTTCTGGAATTTAGAAAGAGTTAACAGGATACATATACCTTATCTTATTTAACAACTTTTAGTGGGTTTGGTCAAAGCACCCCGTTACAATATACATTAATATTTCTGTTAAAGAATACAGAAACATTTACAGAAAAATGGAAAAATACTGTAACTAGCCTCATGCCAATTTCCACAAGCTTTTTGTCAACAAAGTTTTTTCCCCGCAGTAGATTATTGCTGTTCATTTGTCCAGCCTATCTTCCCCAGCTCTCATACCCGCTGCCTGGGTAAGCCAAACTTCTCAGATTAAATTTTAATGTGCTTGGGCTGGTGAAATAGCTCAGTGAACTAAGGCTTGCTTAGGCAAGCACTAGGACAGTGGTTCAATCCCTGGCACCACATGCTGTGTCAACCCTGCCCCCAGGACAGGCTGAGCTGGCCACAGAGTCCGGATAGTGGCACATGCCTGTAATCCCAGCGCAAGGGAGGCTGAGAACAGGAGGATCACTATGCGTCTGAGCTATGTGGTGAGACTCGTAACAACCAAATACATTTTTAAAAAAATTTTAATTAAAAAAATAAATTTTAATGCATAAATAAGGAATAAAGTTCCCAGCCTGTAGAGTAGGAGCCCTCCTCCTCTCCCACACTGACCATACCCCCAGCCCTTCTGATTGGTCCTTTCTGCTCGATCCCCACCTAACTGCTAATGCCTATTTGTTTCTCTGCTTCATGTAACCCAGTTAAAGAACAAAGACCCTGCTCCTTGGTGGGTCCAATGGCAAAGTGAGAGTCCAGAGATGCAGACTGGTGAAGGTTATGGAGTTAGGGAGACAGTGGCTCCACCAGGCTTAGCAATGAGGGGGAGACATTACCTTCCTGGCTTGCGGGAGGCGAAGGAACATCAGCGCTTACCAATGCAGAACACAAACGAGTATCACTGGCTGTGTATTGGATTTATTAGAGAAGTTATTGAAGAAATCACAAAAATGGGGAGGAGGGCACATGTTGGGGCAATGCAGAAAATGAATAAAAAAGTTTTAGTTAAGAATCCTTGTTCATTCTGGACAAAACTTCCAGCTCTTACAATTCCAGATTTTGACTGAAAAACTGGATCCTGTTTTGTCAAGATGGTGCTGCTGGAGAGCAAGCAGTTCCTGACCGAGCTGACCAAGCTCTTCGAGAAGTGCTGGACTTCGGGCAGTGTGTTCATCTCCCTGAAGAAATACGATGGTCGAACTGGATCCATCCCAGAGAAGGGCTCTGTGGAGGGCTTTGAGCCTGCAGACAACAAACGTGTGTTGAGAGCGATAGATGGGAAAAAGATCAGCACTGTGGCGAGCTCTGAAGAAGTGAGTAAGCTTCAGATGGCCTGTTTGAACCTGCTGAGAGCAAACGTGGAGGGGCTGAAGAAGAGAGACAAGAAGTACAAGAGTAAGAAGGCCAGAACAGCACAGTGAAGGGCTCAGGGTTCTCTGCTCTTATCAGTTAACCAACAGATTGCTGTTTTTCCTCTTGGCCACAACGCTAGATTTTTGGCTTCCCTGTGGCAACTATTTTCATGTGAGTTGAGGGTCATTTTGGAGAGGAAAAGGTTAGTGTACAGGGTAGCTGTGGTAAGACACTAGCTCAGGTCTGTGCTGCATGGTTGTGTGCTTAGTTTCCAAAGGCCTCTGTAACCACTTCCCTGAAGAGAAATGTATCATTAAATATTTGCTCCCCCCAAAAAAAAAAAAAAGAATCCTTGTTCATTCCTACCACTCACAGCTATACGTGTCTTTCAAGAACTTCAGATTCTGGCCTAACGCTGGGTGCCTCTCTAAGCATTCATGCCTCCCAGCAGAGTAACCCAAGCACATGTGGCCAGTGAGCCCCTAAATGTCAGCTGTTCAAACTGGATGCATTTTCCGTGTAAAATGTAAATCTACAATTAATTTTTATGTTTCTTTTTAATTTTTAATAGAGCTGCTAAATTAAAATTCATAGGGCTCATGTGATGTTTTCCTCAGACAGTGCTGATCCTCATACCCTTCGCCTTCTCAAGAGTATCTCTCCCCGTCTCAGTCTTCTTTCGAAAAGTCACCGGTTCTCCCACGCAGCGCAGCGGGTTAGGCGGCAGGCAGTACAGCTCCCCCTGACCTCCAGCGATCCGATCTGGGCCACGCCCAGGAAGTGGTGCAAGTGTGAGTGAGAGTTTCTCTTTCTGCTCTCACAAGGGCCGTAAGAGTACTTGTCGAACATAATCTAGCCTTGGCCCCAAATTCTGCTCCTGACTTAAAATATCAAAATATTTTTCATGGGGCTGGGGAGATGGCTCAGTGGAATAAGCACTTCCCTGACAAGCGCAAGGGCCTGAGTTCAATCCCCGGTTCCGCCAAAAAAAATATTCTTCAGACTATGGATCAAAACAAAACTATTTCATCAGTCATGAGCTTTGCAGATTCTATGTAGAATATGAGATTGAATGAGTGACCTGAAACTTTTCCTTTTTTTCTTTTTTTTTTTTTTTCCTTTTGGTTCAACAGATAGGAAGAATCTTAAATGATGGCTAATTATTTCTTTGGGTGCGGACATCCCAGGAATAAAATGAAGAAAGAAAGTAAAATAGGATTTACACTTCATAGGAAGAGTTCATTACAAGCATGGCCAGGCTTGATGAAATCCACTTCCTGTTGTGATAGAAACAACCTCTGTACTCACTGAGTATAAACACACAGGATTGTCGAGGGTGAATGCTGACTCAGAACACACATTCTTGAGAAGCAGTGTACTTCTTGCCTTTGAAGACAGCATGTGTCAAGAAATCAAAGTGTCTGGTCTACTCTATTTCCATATTGGAAATTGTTATCTTCTAATGATACGAACCTGATGGTTAAAAAATAAGTCTCACTAAGAGTCACATTTTGGGGCTGGGAACTTGGCTCCCTGGTAAAATTCTTGCCTAGCCAGCTGGAAGCCCTGTGTTCAGTCCTCAGCACCAAAATCAAAGAATAAACCTCTCCTAAAAAACAAATCAACCAAAAAAAACACAATAAAATAAAAAAAGAACAAAAACAAGGCAACTGAAGAATAGTCACATTTTCTTTATGTCATTTTTATAAAGATAACACACTAATCAGCTTAAATTTTCACCATAAAATTAAAAGAGAAAAATCCCCCACAGCTTGCATTTATTTTGATAGTTAATAATAATAAAAAAAAATCTTGGGCTGGGGAGATGGCTCAGTAGAATAAGCACTTCCCTGGCAAACACAAGGGTCTGAGTTCAATCCCTGGTTCTGAAAAAAAAAAAAAAAAAAAATCTTACCTTTTCCCATTAGAAATCAGAACCTTATTTTTTAAGAACTTAAGAGCTTAAGAAAATGTGACAGTATAGTTATCAGCTAGTCCTCTTTTTTCAAAAAAGTTGAGAGAATAAAGATCATTAAGCTTCAATAAAAATTTGCAAGAGCTATATAAACATCACCAGTTCTCCACAAGTCTTATAGATCAAACTATTTTAATAACACTTATCAGAATTTAGTCTAATCTTTCCAGACCATTTTTCTGAAAGTAAGTACACTAAGATGAATTTAAAGAAGGTATTTCATATACATTTATTTCATAAATATGGAAAAATCACCTAAGTACTAAAATCATTGACATATTCTGAAACATAAATCATTCTCTATTTAGAATTTCATATAATTAAAAAGCTCAAACTACATTAAGTGGACAGTAATGCGAATAGTTATTACTACATATTCCTATGAGCTAGACATCATTCTAAACATTTTACATCTGATTGATTCAGTCTACATCTACTGATTTATTCAGTCTACACCTATTGATTTATTTAGTCCTTACAGGAAGTAGATATCACTATTAGCCACATTTTAAATATGAGAAGACCAATGACTCACAGAATGATTAAGTAACTTACCAAGGATCACTAGGTAGTCAGGTAGAACATTCAGGGTAACTCCAATACAATAAGGTTCATTCCAGAGTCCTTTCTTTGTGCTATACTTTTTAATGAAGTAACATTAATAATAATAATAACAATAATAAATGACAGTTGATGTGTTTATTTGATTGCTGATGTTAAGACTTTCTGAATACTTCTTCTGACAAAATTAAACACAAAGAATTAACAAGGCAGATATCTAAATCAAATTGATTCAAAACTGAACTCCATATAAAATCATTTAGTAATCTATTTCACCTTTGAACATCATAGGCAGCTGCATTGATTCTCAAACTGCAATAAAGAGAATTGTTAGTAACGCTAAAAAATAATGCAAAGATGTGTTGTAGTGTTATAGGAAAACCAAGTTGTGGCAGTACAAAGAGCTCAGTGCCAGACACACATGAGAAATGGTGCAGGCTGAACATATGGGTAGCAGAGGGAGCGAAGTAACAGGACAGGTGAGATGGGGGAACTTGTGCAGATGTGACCTGTTAATTGGATAGAGCAGAAGTAGACAGTATTTGAGACTGTTGCCCAAGGACCTAGCTTAAGAAATACCTTCCGTTGAAGAGCAGCAGAATGGAAGGAAAGACAGGCCTAAGGGTAGAGGGCAGAATTCAGTCTGAGAATGTTTGAGTTAGGTGTGAGTAGAATGCCCTGATGGACACATCCAGTGAGATGAGACTGAAGCTCAGGAGAAGGACTAAACTGAAGGTTTGAAGAGCTACCAGCATATACGCTGCTAAGGTTTAAACCCCAGCACACTGCTTCCAGGCATAGTGTTTCTAAAGAGACCCTTCCCAAATGATCTTACTAAGTCCCTTTAACAGGTATTGAGTCCCTCTGTACTTGGGGTGGTATGGTAAGCACTGAGGGAATTTAAAAGGCCTCTAAATACATTTTAATTTGATGCTGCCTAAAAAAATTTCCATTTGAATAGAATCAGAGGACGAACTTGAAACCAAGGTAGAATGTGATGAAAACAACAAAAGGTACAAAATCTAGCAGTCGAAGAAAGGAGAGTGCACATTGGTTGAGATGAGGGAGTGTGTGAGTAGGGAGGGGGCCTTTGACTAGGGCAAGTTAAGAAAGGCTGGGCAGAGGGAAGCTGTGTGGTGCACACCCAAGAATCCCACTGAGAGGGGCCCCGCACCTAAGAGCATTCCTGAGGGACTGAATCCATATCGACTTTTTCAAGCAGAAGCTGATTGCCGCACTTCCCAGTTATTAGAAGGCTTGCAGGTTTACAGAGCAGTTAAAGACTTTAATTAATAACCTTCTGGTCCAGTGTCCCGGAGCAACAACCAAGATCACACTGCAGGCCTGGGCTTCTGGTGCACTGATCAAGGAGTGGTGGCCCCCAGGCAGCAACAAAACAGTCCTCCTGCTCTTCAGCTCTGCATTGTGTAATTCAAGGTCCAAATTGAAGCCCATGTGATTCATCTGACGGATCAAACTCCAATCGTGTCTGACACTCCCACCATAGGAAAGCCTTGGAAATGCACGTTAGCTTTCCAGACTTTGCAATAGGAAATACTAAAAGGAAATTGGAAGAGATAATGGCTAAGATGAGCAGTGTATCCACTACACTGGCCACGTTTGGATACCTAGAAAAGGCCCCGACCACCTATCTACCAGTTCATATATTCATTCACTCAGAAAATATTTTAGTGTCCCTTGTGCTGCTGGTCTGTGGGCTCTGAGTAGGAGCCGAGCTCCTCCTCACGCCATCCCTCCATCCCATGGCCTGTGCCTAACACCTGTTTTCTCATCTTTTTCCCTGTTTTCTTCCATGCATGGTAAAATGTACATCTGGCATAGTTGAGTGTTTTCTTCATGATTCTAGCAGAAGGGTCAGGGGTCTAAATTGTGTCTGCCATGTTAGCCTTGTGGTACATCTTTGAGGAGATCTACAGTGGCTGCAGCACTGTGGTTCAAATACTAACTTAGCCATTGGCTGTCAGTGTTGGGATCATTTGACTACTAAGTCTGTGTTCTTATCATCTTTTATCTAAGAACAAATGCCTTCGCAGCCAGTCTTTGAAGTGTATTTTCATAAAAAATTCCCTCATCTTCCTATTCTTGTTCACCTGGAGAATGCATGGTCCCATCTTCACCAATAATCACCAGCACTAGAAGAATGACAAGGAGAAAAGGGCCGGCGAGTTAGCTCAGTGGACAAAGCTCCTGCTTTGGCTAGCACAGGGCCCGTGGTTCTATCCCCGGTCCCACGGACCACTCAGGCCCCGCCCCCAGGCCGCGCTGAGCCAGTGACAGAGTCCGGGCGTGGTGGTGTAGGCCTGTAACCCCAGCACTGGGGAAGCTGAAAACAAGAGGATCACCATGAGTCAGACACCCTGCACCAAGTACACAAATTTTTTAAAAAAGGAGAAAAAAGATGAGAATGGTAACTCTAAAAATTATATTGTGCTTGCCATATATGAATCACTGTGCTAAATACGTAAGATTATTTCACCTACCTTTCAAGCAACAACATGAGTGAAATTCTTTTTTTTTTTTTTG